GGAACTCTTATTCTGGAATGTCTATCAGAGCTGTTGTATTACCCTTGATGTCCTGAATGTCATCAAATGTCTTCCTTTTAATATTTCCTTTACTTCCGGTTAAGAAAGAAGTCATTGGGGGCCAGATATGGTGAGTAGGGAGGGTGTTCCAATACAGTTATTTGTTACTGGCTAAAAACTTCCTCACAGACAGTGCCATGTGAGCTGATGCATTATCGTGATACAAGAGCCATGAATTGCTGGTGAAAAATTCAGGTCTAATTTTTTTTTTTTTACTTGATCTTATTAATTAAATATTTTACTGGGGAATTGGGGAAGGGAACAGTGTTGGGGAATTGAGGCAGGGGATTATTGTGTTGTTCCAGGACCCATCAGCTCCAAGTCAAGTTGTTGTCCGTCAATCTTAGTTATGGAGGGCGCAAGCTCAGCTCCAAGTCCAGTTGCCACTTTCAATCTAGTTTCGGGGGGCGCAGCACTCCGTCCCATGTGGGAGTCTAACTGGTGACCTTGTTTTTAAGAGCATGCGCTCTCACCAGGTGAGCCATCCGGCCGCTCGCTGGCAGCTTAGCTCAGCAGCAGCTCAGCTCAGGAGCAGCTCACTGGCCCATGCGGGAATTGAACTGGCAATCCTGTTGCTCAGAGCTCGCACTCTAATCAGCTGAGCCACCTGGCCGGCCCTCGTCTAACTTTTTCATGCAGCCTTTTCAGCACTTCCAAATAGTAAACTTTGGTTAACTGTTTGTCCAGTTGGGCCAAATTCATAATAAATAATCCCTCTAATATAAAAAAAAAAGGTTAGCAATATGTTCGCAAACTTAATTGTCAGACCTCATAGATGAAGCCAACATTAACAGAATTGAGGGGAGATATCCAGTGCTACAAAAACAGTTAAGACTTCAGTACCTCACAGTCAATAACTGATAGAAGATTAATAAGGAAACAGACTTGAACAACACTATACATAAATTTGACTTACCAGACACATACAGAACACGCTACCCAAGAAAGGCAGAATACACACTTTTCTTAAGTGCACATGGAACATTGTCCAGGATAAACCATTTGTTAGGGCACAAACCAAAAACTGAGAAATTTAAAAGGCTGAACTCATACAAAGTGTCTTTTCAATCACAATTGAATGACACTAGAAATCCAACAGGAGGAAAACTGGAAATTCACAAATATGTGGAAATCAAATAACACATTCTCAATCAAGGGGTCAAAGAAGAAATCACAAGGGAAATTAGAAAATACTTAGAGATGAATGAAAATGAAAACACAATATAGTAAACTTAAAGGATATAGCTAAAGCAGGGCTAAGAAAAAATTTATAGCCGTAAAGGTTTATATTAAAAAATAAGAAGTTTCTTAAATCAATAACCTAATTTTCCATTTTAGGAACTAGAAAAGAAGAGCAAACTAAACCCAAAGCTAGCCAAAGGAAGAAAATAATAAAGATTAATTAGAGTGGAGATACAGAGTGGAGTAGAGAACAGAAAAACAATAGAAAAAATTTAAAAACCAAAAGCTGGTTATTTGAAAAGATCAAAAAAATTGACAGATGTTTAGCTAGACTGAATAAGAATGAAAGAGAGAAATCAGTAATGAAAGTGAGGACATCGCTACTGATTTTACAGAAATAAAATAGGTATTATTATTTAATGAGTACAGATTTTATACTTAGAACGATGACAATGTTTAGAAAGTGGTGATGGTTCCATAACACTGTGAATGTATTTAATATCACTTAATTGTACACTTGGTTAATTCAATGTTACGTATATATTAC